TTGTGCTTTTTATCTTGAAGATCTAGTTGTACAAAGCTGAGCCTGGCAGATAAAATTTAGAAAACTAAATTTGCTACACATTCTGTTCCAAACTCAAACTTGAGAAGTACTTTGTTCGTGGAGGGAAACTAAAAATTAGCTTCAAAAAAGTGGTTTTCTCGAATTTTCACTGTGAAGGAGATGTTTAGGCTCAGCTATCTGTTAAGCTCAGCTTTGTGCAACTTGAGCTTCACGGTGCAAAATGATAACTACTGTTTCTCCTCATTTAGAATAAGGTGATTTCTCACTAGTTGCATCTATTTGGAAATCGCCTTACACTAGACGCATCGCTTGATTTTAACGATAGGATGGAATGGAATTGACTTAAACCGGTGTTCAAGCAGATGAATCGATCGATATATTCCATGATGCATTGCCCAATACATTGTACGATGTATCGGCAGCTTTATCGGGCGATTTCACGCGTGTCTCATCTGCAGCCGATATACAACTAGATTCCTCTTCCGATATATTGCCTGATGAATCGGGTTAACTACTAGATACATAACTAGATACATCTAGAAAAGAATCGGCTGTATGTAGATGTATCGGCCTATAACCCGATTCAACTTTTTCGCTTTTTTACGCATCTAAATGTGTCGCGTTTTGTATCTAGTATATCTAGCTGCATCGGGCGATACCCGATACATTTTTCCTGCATGGGTTTGCTGAGATACATTGATGTTTACCTCATAGTTTGATTATTAGATTTAAAATAACGTTGTTGAATTTGTAAAAATGTTTCATCCGCTACGCCAAGGTCAGATAATAATAAAATAACTTGATTATTTAATGGAGTTGGTGCTAAACAAAAGGAAAAGAAATATACATGAGTAAAGTTTTTGTTTTTCCTCACTTTCTGTCTCAATCTGAGATACAATGTGTTACAGAAATCCGTCACAGTAAAATGTGTTGCACTTCTAAACTGTCACAGTTAGTCGGCGTTATGTAGACCTGTTGTTAGGTCAATTTTATTGTTAATATCCAGAAAAATGAATGCAAAAACATTCTTGAACTTTCTTTAATACTTATTTTTAGATCATTGGAGAAAAAAATATTTTCAACAGATTAGATAAACTTATAGATGGTATTGGACAAGGTAAGAAATCCTAGAATTTTAGGGTATTTGTGACTTAAAACAATTTTTCTTATAACGAGCATTGAATTTTAACTTTCTAAGCAAAAACCACCGGTCGGGATAAAGCTAGTTGCATTCCGTCTGTCATCGAGGGATGCGAGATTATTATCCATTTCAGAATAGAATGCCATCGGTTGTTTTTGAATAACTTCGAACGAAAAGAGCTAGAGAGTTCAGATTTTCACTTTTTGCAGGAAAATCTTTGCTCTATCTTATGATCTATGAGAGCTTGAAAACCTCGGATTTTCTGGTGGTGTACCTGACATGTGAAAAAAAGAAATAGTTGCCAGGTACCGATGCCAAACTATGTTCAAGAAGGAAAAAAATTCACAGTTATTCTAAATGTGAAAATATCCGCAATCATATTTACACGAGAGTGTAAAAACAAAACGATGATTCCAGAATTTTCAAGATCTTGGCACAAGAAGTCAAGAGATTACAAGATCTTCAAGATCTTGACTTCTTGAAATTCCTTGAATTCTTATATTTTCTTAATCAAGATCTTGTCCACAAGAAGTTTCACTAGGGTGTAATTAAAAATCAGAATAAACAGTTGTCTTTAAAAGATATGTGGAGAAATAAAATATATTTTTTTCTTTTTTTGTTGCCCAACAAGAGTTTTCATCCTTGTAATTAAGAGTTCCAGCTTACGAGGAAACCACTCCAACTGTCTAATCGCTTTTTTCGCGAAGCCTAGTGGAAAATAGGTAATCATACTGTAGGTAAATTACTTTCTTCTTATTTCTGTAACTTTGAGTTGACAATGAACATTTAGTGCTCTTCTTGTAAATTCTCTAACTTTCCAAAGAAAGATCGTGTAGAGCTGTGAGACGTCTCACTTTAATCAGAAATGTGCGGGCTACAATTATGCTTCATTAAGAAAGACTTTGGTTATCTTTTAAAGTTTCTGAAAAGCTCATTTTCCAGAAAACCGGTCTCTGGAGGCCCAGACGACCAAACCACTATGAAATTCGGATTCAGCACACTCGATTACCTATTGTCTAGAAATCAAGTAGCTGAAAATATTTGTGGTGTTATAAAAGTTTAAGGCGTGCGTAATTCAAATTTCGAGCACTATCTCAGAATTGGCTCTTTTTCACGTATTCTGATAGAAAAAAGTGGGCTGAGTTTAATAGTGTACTCGGAATCTAAAGAAACCCTTGTCTTCATTTTCAAATTCGCAAACTACTAAAACAGGTCAAACGTGTCAAAAAACGCGTCCTTCACGTGAAACGCGCACCATTTCGCCGCGCTTCACAATGGACCCCTGCAAGTTTCACCGTTAGATTCGCCTTGAAAACCTGATCCTAGGAAGTAGCTTCAAGGCATTTGAGGCAGGACTGGATTTTTGGTGGCTCTCTAAAGGGCAGGACCCAAAACCGCTGATTTGCCCACCAAAAACCAATCAAGCCCTCAAGGTTAAGGGGTAGAGCCTTGATTTTGACGCCATTCGATCCGCCGTGAGTCAGAGTATAAACTAAAGTATCCTTTTCGAAGGATTCGCTTCCGTTCCTGACATACAGCGTTTTTACTGGAACAGAAGCGAAACCGACCGAAAACGGGCACGTCGTGTTCGATTAACTTGCTCGGTTTCGATCGTAGAACTCTCAAACACACAGTCTATATGTAAAAGGTGATGAGAAATCTAGCCACACCATTTTTCACGTCAAGAATTCGACATTGATCATTAAATTTACCATCTGGGGTGGCTCACTATGTGTTGTCGAAAACTCAAGTGAACTCACCTCTCTTCGCAGTGTTTCTTTCGGACGTGCATGGTGAACAGGTGTTTACCTGCGAAATAGATCTAATATTATTGTTTAACTCACTTTTCAACGCTAGCTAAATAAGGAAAACATAATTTGTGCATTCCGGACAAAAGTCCAAGTGGACAAATCTAGCGTTTTTGAACATCATCGTTTTATCGAGTTTTCTCTATTTTTCGACATGCCCAGTCTTGCATCATCAGCCTGCATATATTCTTACGCAATAACCTTGACTATGATCTTCTCTCTTGTGGCACGACTCTAGTACGTGACATAACAACAAGATGAACTTTCACATTCATCGAAAATTAAATGCGTCCGGAAGGTCTTGTTGGCGTCCGACGTTCCAGTTCTGCATCATCGAGTAACAGGTCAGAAGCTCTAACCACTAAGCTACCGAGGCACCGTCTAACATATATTCTCAGTTCATATAAACGATCTAACTAGCAGAGTCTCGAAGTGATCAAGATCTGTTTTACATACATCAGCTTAACTCAGGAGATAAATAACAGACATAATAAATGCTCGCGAGGTTATATACTCGGGTAATGAGATTGACAATACTACTACTCGTTGTACGAAGGATACTGCATCATTATTCGACACTCCGATAGTTAAATTCTTGATGTGAACTGAGAACGTATGTTAGATCGTGCTTTGCAGTGGAGCTTCTGGCCTATTATTAATTGTGCTTAGTGGGTGTCACAGAAATTTTGCAACATCTTATGTTTTTCGAATACTTCAGTCTAGATACAGCATAGATTCTTCAGTCTGTTTTCAAAACATGCTCAGTTTAATTGTCTACAAAACTGATGTTGACTATATTTTGCAGTAATGAAATTGTAAATTTCTAGACGTCAGACATTTCGATGTAATCAAGTTCATGATGCAATCGAAGTGTTTCACGTCTAGAAATTCATTACTGCAAAATATAGTCAACATGAGTTTTGTAGACAATTAAACTGAGCATGTTTTGAAAACAGATTGAAGAATCTATGTTGTGTCTACGCTGAAGTGTTCGAAAAACATAAGATGTTGCAAAACGTCTGTGGCACCCAGTATACGCTCATGATTGGCAATAAACACAAAGCAGTTTTCTGTTTTAGTTTTATTATAGCGAAAAACTTCAGCATAGCTGGCTTTAAAGACATGTACATGCTGAAAGCAAAACTGCTATATATTTGCAAATAAAAATTGTAAACTCTTAAGTGATTATCATTAACGTTGAAATCTTTACATCCTACTCTTATAGAATACTGGAAAACTTGGTTGAAAAAATCCATCAACTTAAATTCTCCTCTCCATCACTTATACATTTTTCTTTGTGGTAAACTTATATAACACCGGCAAATATTTTCAGCTACTTGATTTCTATAGAGTTCTGAACAATGATCAACAACAAAAACTAAGCGCTAAAAGGCACATTCATTTGAAGTGCTGGAAAGTGCGAAAAGTCGTTATTCTGAATCAGGCATTAATTCTTCTTCGGAAGGAGCCAGTAATCATAATCATTTGAAACATAAACGTTTCCTTTGTAAATCTGTTGAACCGCGCTCAGCAACGTTGCGAAGTCTGCATTTGTTACCGGTGCGGGAACAATATGTGTAAGGATTAAATTTTTAACCTTAGCCAATTTGGCTACTCTTGCGACTTGTGGAACAAGTGTGTGTGAATCAAGAATTCGACATTGATCATTAAATTTACCATTTGGGGTTGGCTCACTATGTGTTGTCAAAAACGTTTTATTTAACACCTCATGTATTAAATAATCAGCATTTTTAGCTGCATTCACTACAGCCCTTGATTCTGGATAACCCACTGTATCACCACTAATGACAATTTTATAACCTTTCGTTAGAATAATGTAACCCACAGCTGGATTAGCTGAATGATGATAAACTCGAAATGATTTAACAACTACATCCTGCGCTTTATTATTGACTACCGTTATTTGCGTTTTATTATCAAATGGTGGAATGGTATATCCTATTCCATCAACATTTAATGAATCAAACACTGTGGGATTCAAGTTTGGTCTCGTAGGATTAGCGAATGTTGGATTACAAATCTTTTTTGCTGCGTTAACTTGCAATTGTCGATTAATTGAATCCATAACAAAAAAATATCTCATACCTTGAGTATAATTAAAAAGCAAATCAAATCCTGGACCATATAGTTTAACACGATCGCTTGCTGCAGTTCTTAGATCTAAGAATCCCAAATTTAATGCATTACCGATACCACCCGTATGATCACTATGATAATGAGTGATGAATATGCTTTTAATCAAATTTAATTGATTTGTATTATTAAAATTGTCTAATACTATTTCAGCACCCATACCAACATCAAATAACATATAGTCAATACCATCAATAATTATGGCAAAACATGCTCGACCGCGAACAGTTGTTTTCGGTTGTCCTGTTCCACATGCTATCATTTTTATACCAGCATAAGCGTCTGTGATATTGTTATCACATATTTTTGATCGACAATATTTACGTTGCAATTGACGAGCTGGATTTAACCAAGCCGGAGGATCTGAGAGATCAATTGAATTTAAAGCCGCTATAAGTTCCTCTTGTGATCTTCTACCATCATGCGATGATGTTACCAGTTGAATGTGGACTGATAGGAAAATACACGTAAGTAATCCGACAGCCAACATGTTTTGCGAGTAGTGCAGAAACAGTTGAACAGAAAAGGTTTATATATCAATAGCTTCACGGTGCACAAAGAACAACCAACGAAAAGAAAGGACATTAGATATTCGTTGAAAATTTCCTTTTTTTCTACGATTAGCTTTGATAGTTTTGGATTGGTGCAAAATTTAGATATTTTTAAATAAATGCCTTTCTGTGTAAATGTTTATATTTCTGTATGTAGAGCGATGATTTTAGATAAAAAGGTTATTGATGGTACAGTGTTGAGATAATATAATTAGACATGTGTTTAATATAAGCAATCTGCGCAAAGATAGTAATGTATCTGGTCTTGATTGATATTCAATTATGATTAGTATCTGTTTATCCTTCTTTCTTTTCTCCTCGATGTTGGAAACCTTGAAAGTACAAATACAGCCTTAAGGAGTTGATCATGCATATCATCAGTGGATGAATTATATTTTCATCGCTTTGTTTCGTAAACCCTTGCTCTGAGCCAACAATATCGTTGGTTTTCTTAAAAGCTATGGGAGAAGACGCTTGAGATCTACAAACATGTCACCATTGTGAGACTATCAAGCCAATCAGATTGATTACATCATCACCAGAAATATGTACAAATGTGTGAATATCTTATACATTGAATTTGAAGAATACATACAGATATCGGTTTCTCTATCAGTATAGAACATTTTGGTTTTCAATGATTATCGATCATAAAATTAAGGAAGCTGATAGTTGAGCTATTTTCTTATTTGTTGAAGAAATAGAATATCGACATAGGAAGGCTGACTGTGAGAGCCTTGGTGACTTGTATTTGCTTCGTGACTTGTCTGGGTGGCTCAAGTTGATGCCATCTATCAGCAAGCTTCTTCAAAGTTCTTAATGCGTGTGATCGACTTGTCTTGGTGGTTTGTCCGTTTGTATAGTTGATGGGTATACTCAAAGCACATCGCTCTATAAATTACACTTTTATCTTTCCTCCGAATCTGCACTTTCCGCCAAATAGCAATCACACGTCGGTCTCATGTGAGATAGAAGACGTCGTTGAGGTACAGCTCACCGGGCGTTCCTTGGTGACTTGTTTTGTGACTAGTGATTTCTTCGTACATGAGTTTTGCACGTGAATATGGTTTATGATTTTTATATGCGAAATGTTGATGTTGACTTGATTCAGCGAAATCTTGATGGACGTTGGGTCCTCACATGAATCGACAGTGATGATATTACACAATATGAGTCGATCATTGTTCTTTTCGTCTTACTTTCTGATAACGGTGTATTTGTTGTTATTCTGTCCGCTGGTGCACTGCCCCGGAAAAGAACGGTAAAAGTATGCTGATGGCATGGAACAAATGTGCCGATTGGACGGTAAAAAACTAACCGGCATGCTTCAACCATGCCATTGGTACACTTTGACCGTGCCTTCAG